TATTATTAAGTACACGTTTCTTTATCCCTTCAGCTTACTAAAATTCACATAGAAGTTGCGACTGTATAATAGGTTAAATTCCCTACATGCATGTACAGGCTGCAACGTAGCTTACCACTTACTGTGTTTAGCAAGTATGCTTACTAGCGCTCCTTCCACAGACATATCATTTTTAACAGTAGGATCCTAACCTTAGTAGTTTAAACTTAAGGAAACAAGCCGGACAAGCATTGAGATGTTCTAAGCCTCAGACATTTACTGTACTAGGAATATCAAACATCCAGGTCCCCACTCCTAGTTGACATCGTGGAAACACGGGCACAGATCTGACTCCTGTCAGTGTCATCTCTGACCAAATATTAGCGTCATTTATAGTACCAGCAATACAATCACTCAGATACACCGCTAGAAGCAGCAGTATAAACAGTTGTTCAGTACTTGATATACACGACTTGGGCTCCTCGAAGCTGTCTGGGTACCTACCATGGACGAGTGAGGGAAGATAGTGCAGTAGTACCAGCGCAAAGGGCTACTGTCACTTAAGACTAAGTTAGGCGGTGTTTCTGGCTGCACTGGAAAAATGGGCTTACGCCCGATTACTGCTCTGTCATCTCGACTTTGTCTTGTCACGGGAAGAGGGCTTAAATCAGGGTAGATGGCGGCGCGTCTGTTTTCACCATATCTGGCCGCAGTCACCGTCCCTGCTCTTGGGCACATGGTGAACATCATGCAGTATGATGGTCGAAATAGCACACACTTGCAAAGTAAATGTATGGCTGTTACCAAAGAGCCCAAATTTCGAGTATGTATTCCTACGTGATTTCCCGAGAATTGCTAGTTATTTCTTCCGTTTGTACATTGCTTAAGTTACGTGAGACTAAGGCTACCAGATTTCCGCCTGATTTTGCCGATTGGGAAGTCACAGGAGTAAGATAATTTTGTATGCTCAGGTGCAGACATGCCGGTCAGTGCCTAATAGATTTAAATGGAATTGTCAGGTGCAATTTAAAACGTACTGTTTCCGTCCGCTAAGAGGAATTTCCTTCTGCAACATTTCTTGGTAATCATTTTGGGATTTCGATAACGAGGTTCAGATCTTTCTTGGAAAGGTTATTAATACTTCACAATTTTCACTGCATTCGGTCAATTGGTCATAATTAAGGAGTATATTCCACGTTCTTACTAAAACTTTCAAAATAAGATATTCACTAAAAGTACTCATCTAGATAGCAAGGTTTTAAGCATTCTTATGGGTCATGGTTGTAGAACATTTTAAATCATTGCCGAGAAGAATGAATGTCCACAACAAAAACCGCAAATGAATATGCCAAAGATTAATTAGAAGCTCTCTGTTACTTTCTTGAAAAAGTTTTTTAAGTGGACAATTTGGCGTCGAAACTCTGCGTACTTTATTTTTTTGATAATAAAATAAAGATCTAAAAGGGCCATGTTGGCCAGTTTTTAGACTTCCCGAAACATTAGGGATTTTCTGCTGCTGAAACTGAAAGAACAACAAAAACAGCAAAAACAGAGCAGGGTGGCAGTATATGAACGATGATTTTGAGAACATTGATCTGGTGCACGACATTCCTTCTTCCTCAACCATGCAAATACCTGGAACGCGAACGTTCTCATTCATTCTTGACATTAATAAGTTTCTGTCAGTCCCGTTTCTGTTTTTTTTTTATTCAGTGATTCTGCTCTATAGATGGAAAAGGTTTGGATATATTTTGCATACCGCTTGACGAAGAAAACTTACGGCATATCTCGGGTGTTTTTATATATGCTTGTTTACGCTCGTTATTTTCGGTGGGGTAAAATGATTGTTGCCTTATACGTACTTAATTTACTCTTTTTTTCCCGACAATGATCTGTTATCTCATAATTGCACGTACCTCAATTTCATGAAAGCAAAACATAATTTTCTATTCTCCCAACACATATGATTAAAAGGTTTCTGATTTTTAGAAATGTTCTTGTATAGTAAAAGCTGCACAAACAAGAAGTTTTTTCTGCAGCATTTAATAGTGTAGAAAATTCATTGGATATCAACAAGCGTTGTATTACGCCCCCAGTATACTGCTTTGAACTGAACTCTTTTGAGTAAACAGCATTTTACGCGTCAAGTCAACTCAATAAACAAAATAGTTAATTCCAAATGTTCGTTAAACCCCCTACTCAAAAATTAATCTTCACATTTCATCAGATATACAATCTACTGCAAAATCCAGAGGTTAGCTGGCAAAATGTCAGTATTTGACAGTATTTATTGACTTAAAAGTGATCTTCGAAATTACAAATCACAGTTTAACTCATTTAGCTGAAGTCGTCGACATCCCAAAACCTCGAAACAAATGGATAGACCTACATAATATAGGAAACAAAGCTTTTAAATATGATGAGTCTCCGTTCTGTAATAGCCAGTTCACTTGGAATCCTTGATAAGGACTGGCCGCAACGTCTGGTTTCCTACAAAGAATTGGATGGAACTGAGGTCCTAACACAGTCAGCCTACAGTCCCGATGCCTGATTATGACCACTTCAGATCAATGTAGCACTTCTTGTAAGACAGTCATTTTAGGAGACTAAAGAAGCGCGCAAAGACTTATTTGAATCAAGTCAAGGGATCTTATTTTAACCATATTCGGTTACTTGCAGATCGCTGGCAGAAAACTGCTAAAAAATTTTGTATTTTATTATTATTCTTATCGCTTTTTCATTGCCAAGAACAAGGTATGGATTGGTGTAAGAAATGTTTCCAAAAAATGCGGTTTTTTTCCAATACTATTTAACTATTCTCCCAACCTAATAGTATAGTACTGGTAAATCGGTGATATTGTAGTGGCCTCTAGCAGGCACTTGGAACCCAAGATCTGCCGCTGAC